ATCCATCCTTCAGATTTCATCTGTCCTCCCCACCAAAGTCTCTGATGCCCTGCTTCGGGACCAGATGAGTTAGCCTTTCCCCGACCCCTCCTAACACCCTGTGAGATGAACTCCTTCTGCATTGTTTATTTACATGCAAACCTCCCTCTGGGAGGACAGTCGCCATGCTGTTTTCGTCATCCTACCCCCATGTCTTGTGCCATGCCTGGTCTAAATTAGATTCTCAATACATATCTTGAGTCATTGAAGAAAGACTCCTGTAATTTCTCTAGGAATTGTGCATCACTTCCGCTGGAGGTTAAAGTTCTGATTTCATGATAACGATGAAGTTACCCTTCAAGCAGTCAAGAAATTCCAACTCTGAAAGTCCTGAAGTCAGCTACCAACATAGAACTCTACTATTGTTTTTATAATAACTTCTGCCAATGTCTTGTGTATCATATCTGAATATACCAGCTTCCCCAAAGCAAGCTGATATTAGCTGAAGTGTAAGGCAGTGATGTATTAAAACAGGTTGTATTCCAAAAGCAGTTGTGCCAAATACATGACTGATGAATTCGGAGTAGCTGACAACACGAAGATTCTTGATTCACAGAGTTCTTTAAGCTTCTTAGAGAGCTTCATGTTCATTGTGCTATTAGACTTTCATAAGAGTCCCTTCCAGGCAGGGATTATATTTTACAGTCTTATCAAGAAAGAAATGACTTCCTGGTAGTTTTCTTAAATTTATCCAGAAATTAAGAAGATGCCCAATTTAACTGTAAACATTTTTAACTTGGATCTTTTACCTGAACTTAGACTTTTATATCCTACTAACTTTTCAACATGGATGTTTAAAGAATTGTAAACTTCAGTACAAACTTACATCTTGTAAAGTCTGAATTGTGTCCACCAAAATGTTATGTTAAATTCTACCCTCCCCCAAGCTGGTAAATGTGACCTTGTTTTAAAATAGACTCTTCATGGATGCCACCAAGTTTAGAAAAGTGTGGATCCTAATGCAATTCAATTGGTGTCCTTATAAGAAGAGTTTCAGACATGCAGATAGAATGCTCCAGAGGCAGAGATGGCGCCATATGGCTGCAAGTCAAGGGATGCCAAGGTTTGCAGACCAACATTGGAAGTTCAGAAGAAACAAGGAAGGGTTCAAAGTCTCCAAGGGAGCCTAATTGTGAGTACACTTTGATTTCAGACTTCTGCCCTCTACCACTGTGAGAGAATGGATTTGTTATTTTAAACCATCAGAGTGGCCTGTGCTCTTTGTTAGAGCAGCTGTTATGGTTTATGTTCAGATGCCTCCCCCAAGCCTCATGCAATCATAGACATGGCCAAATCTAGTGTTTGTGATTGGTTTGTTGTTTGGCACTTGGACTGGTGTTGTGAGTGCCACACCGCCCAGGGGTGGAGCCAGCACACAGTGTAATGATGGGAAGAAGGCATGTCTTTCTCTTCTTGCTGTTTGTGCTTGATGTTTGTGGTGGCCGTAAACTGCTGCCCCTCAGCCTTGTCATTTTGCCTTGGAGCCAGCTGAGTATGGACTGAAACCTCCAAACTGGAAGAAATAAACCTTCCATTCCCTGACTTTGGGCATCTCCCTTGTCTCAACAAGGGAGAAAAGTAACTAAGACAGCAGCCCTAGAAAACCAACACAGCATTCAAACTGTAATTGCTAACTCCTTTCCAAGCCATCTCCTCCCATAATGCAGTAAATACAGCGGCAGCTTCCAGCTCCATCTTCATCCTGATTCCTGTCTTTCACCCACACTCTGAACCTGACCCCGCAGTGCATTCTATTGGCTTTGCTCTCACAATCTGCCAAGACTCCCACCCTTGCTGCCACCTACATTGTGGCCACTGGGGTGCCCTGTTTGAGTATCAGGAGCCCTGTTTGAGTATCTCTACTCCTGCCCCATCCCCCAGCAGCCTGTTCTCAACCCAGCAGCCAGAATTACCCTATTAAACTGTAAGTCAGGTCATGTCCTCTGCCCCATTACCCCTGAGAGCTTCCTAGCCAGCTCAGAGACAGGCTGGGTCCTTCCATTGGATTGTGAGGTTTCATAGGAGCTGTAGCTCCCAGGACTGCCTCCTACCTGGTCTCAGCCCACTTCTCCACCTGAGTCTCTCTGGAGACACTGCTCTCCTCGATGAACCTCAACTACACAATTGCACTTTCACCTGAACCCCTGTAAGGGGTTTTGCTTCAGCCTGAAGAGCTTTTTCCCAGACCCATTCATGGTCCCTTCCCTCAATGGTAGGATTCTGCTTCTTACCTCTCAGTTATGCTTTCCTTCCCTACCTTATTGTGGCTGTCTCTTACTGCAGCTCAGTGCTTGGAACCCCACCCTTCTCCTTTCACAGCACCCACACCTGCTCGGGGCACACAGCTTTCCTTCGCTGCTCACATCTCCTCTCTATACTCTCCAGGGCACAAGCCCCCACAAACACCTCACACTTCTCTGTTCTGGTGTCTCCTTCCCAAAAGCTTCACTCTTCAGGCTTGTGGGGTCACCACTGACACAGGACAGCACAGTCAGGGTAATTAAGTGACTTTCCTCCAGTCCCACAGCTGGTAAGAGAAATGCTTTCCCTTACTTACATGCTCACTTATCATCATACTGAATGTACCTCAGAAGCCATACCTTCGGGGGTGTTACACTTTCCTAATTCACATTGAAAGTATGTGAGGTATGGATAAAAAATATAGTTGAATGTCTCAATTTAAGATTTTATTACAGTAAAGACACATTACCATTAGTTTCCTCAAAATACTACCTCTTGCTTCAAACACACTTATCCCACGTGGTTGTCACTTTCTGAAACCATTCTGGAAGTCCTGTTTTGTGAGTCTCTTAGTTTCATGTCCTGGATGCCTTCATGCTCTGAATGGATTCAAAACGTTTCCCTTTCATGGTCATTTTGACTTTGGAGAAGAGCCAGATATCACAGGGAGCTAGATCCTGTGAATAAGGTAGATGAGGACACACCAGATGTTTTTGTGACAGGAACTGCTGTAATTAGATAACAAATGAGGTAGGACTGTCATGGAAATATGATAGCAAACCAAATGGAAGACCCTTTGCAGTGAGGAGTCAGAAGGCCATTGTTTATTACGCTAGCGGGCTGATGATGGACCAAGTTCAAATCACCAGCCAGGAGTCAGCTTAGAGTTTAAATACAGTTTGCAAGCAGGCGTGCAAGGCTGATAGCAGGTTATCACATAACTGGTTACATGAATCAAGTCCTATGCTGTCAGGCAGGTCAGTCAGAGGGATTGTCATAAGGCGGGAGAAACTAGGGAGCTAGCTAGTGCTGAGCAGGTAGTCGTAACTATCCGTGGCTTTGACTGGTTTATCTCAGTTGGACAGTCCTTGAAAACTGACCGAGTATATGCCAGGCAGTCCAGATGGAAGTGGTCAGAATGAGTCGGGCCAGACTACCTGTAAGTTGCAGCAGACACAGTCAATGAAGCTGGATCTAACAGTCTATGTGATGGCCGGGTGAGCACACCTTGTCTTCACTGAGCATCAGACTTTGATTTTTTACTTTCCTGTCACGTGATCATAAAATACAGTAAATTTTTTAAGGTTGAAAAAACATATTATGTAATGACACAGCCATTAAACTCCCCTCAAAATACTCCCCTTCACTTTGAACATGCTCATCATTAACAAATGTGACTTTTACTCTATTTTTTAAACTTGATTCCTCACCATATCTTCCAATCATCTCTGGGTGTAAATTATGGACTATGTTTTGGAGGAAAAATCAGGAACAGAGAACCGTGAGTGCAGGTGTGAGATTCAGGATTGAGCTCAGTTCCCAGGTTCACCACAGTGGTTAAGATGGCCAGGAAGATCAGGGAGGCCGAGGAAGCACCGGAGAGGAACAAGTCATCTGACCCTCTTCTAGGGCTTCAGCCTGACTGAAGTTTGAGCAATACACTTGGACTTTGAGAGTTTTACAAAGTACATGTGTTCCCAAGATGCTTCCTGCACCCCCGATTCTGGCACCCTCTTTCATGAGCAGATTATGCTGCCACACGAGCCACAGTCTCAGTGAGAAAGCTATGAAGTGTGGGTGAAGGGGAGACTTTCATGACCTAGAATTCCAGGTTGTGGGGTGTGGAGAGGTGGAAAGTCACAGCCCATGTGTGACATCTGTCTATAGCTCGGACTAGAGAGTGCTCTAAAATCAGTCCCAGGGATGCTTAAGAAGCAGCCAGGATCATTCAGGAAAAGGCTTGTGCAATGGGAGGTAGCGAAGCAGCCTGCAGCCTGGTGGTCCATCCAGAGTAGCAGCCTGGACCTTGACAAGCAGGAGGTAGCTCACCTTTTCCCTGCTGGGCAGGTGTGGTCCAAGGCCTTAGGGTGAAAAACAGAATCCTTGGTTAGGACAAAAACATTCCAAGAGGTGACTGCTACCCTCAACAATTAAGGCTCAACCTTCTGCTAAAAACCTTCTTTGGGGGGTAAGAAAGGACAATGCTTGGGTAAATATGTAAAATCTAGGGAAACTGAAGCAAACACAGAGACTGAGCCTGGCAATGTGGAGCCCGCCTGCAGGGGTTTAGATGCTGGCTCCCTCACAGCTGGGCAGGTGGCCTTGGGTGCGTCTTTAGGGATATTGTGATCCCCTGATCTTTAAAACAAGACAGTCTCAGCTTGCTCTGATGGATATGTGAGCTAGCCAACACAAATGCTTAGATTTCAAATGCTTCGAATACCGCCTGGCACACAGGAAACACTGAATAAGTACTTTTAAAAATAAAATAGAGTATAATTCTCATCTGCACTCCCTGTTCACCATTTCTTCCATAGACTGACCTTGCCATCTGCTTCGAAAGAAAGTGGACTCTCTGATGGCTCATGAGACTCTGTCCACAGACATGGTAGAGAGAGAACTCTTCCATATATGATAAGTCTAGGAGCTCTGTCAATGTTGTATCAAGCTGTTAGCTGAATTTCAAAGAGAGTGGTATAAAAAATAGATGACCAAAAGGATTACCAAATGAATACTTTATTAGAGTCATAACACTTATAAAATAAATTTCTTTTCATCATGAAGGTACCGGATTTTCAAGACCAACCAATACTTTTTCATTTTTACAATGAAGATATGTAAATAAATTCTTAAATGCCATAAATTTTGTTCAAGTGCTTTGTCACTCAACTCACAAATCTAGAATGCAATTAATCTATAAATCTTAACTATTCACAGTTAGGAGGGTTTTAGGTTTTGTTTTTAATCTAAAAGTAGTCCATTTATAAAAGTGCCACCAATACACTTTAATGAAATCATTTAATTTAATGCCACCAAGCATGGCATATAACACCTTGGAAAAAAATAAAATCTCACACTTAAATTCTAGCAGGCTACCTTTAACTGATTCCAAGTAGAATGCATGATATATCTTTATGGCACATTTATGACTTTGTAATAGAGGCTTAGGTAAATGGTATGGATCTAGAAAAATCAAGGACGTCAGCTTCATAAAAAAGATAAGACATGATTACAGGGTTGTCAGACCGGTTTCCTCACAACCACACACGAAAACACGTCTCCTGTCTTTACAGTCCTATCACAAACCAAGGTCTGGTGAGATTTCTCTTTGCAGGGGAGTCTGAGGCAGAAGTCACGTGCTCGGTGGGCGCTGCTCTGTGTTTGATGAAGTCTGACAGCCCAGGTTGCACATGCACTCTGAGGAGCCAATGCAGCCTAGCTAGGGGCCGAAAGGATGGACGTGGCCAGGCAGCCCCCTTGTGGTGACAAGCAAGCACCTTGTGGGTAGATAGACAGGCTTAGTTAGAGCTGGGGCCGAACCTCACCAGGTCTCTCTTGGGGCCTTCTGGTACCCTCGCATGGCCACAGTCTCTACGGATGGGCTAGAATTATTCCCTAGTATCCAGAGACTGTTTGTAGGCTGTTGTTTTAAAACTGACTTTGTCTATCCCCAAACCATAAAACACGAGAGAGATATCTGGGCATTTATCAGAATATGTAAGAATCTACAGCTTTATGTTTATATTTAATAGTCTATTCAAATTTAACTCAGAAAATAATGCAAAATAATTAGAGCTAAAAAAGTTAACGCTTCAGAGAGTGCTATTTGGAAAAGCATCACATACATAAATATTTATGCATTCATGCAGAGGGTAAACAATGGAAGTCTAAGCATGAATCAAAGGGAGACGTAAGTAGCTAGGCTGCAGTCCCAGTGCTGATTGAGGGCCTCTGGAGACCCTGCTTCAAGAACTCTCAGAGGAGAGTGCTGCTCAGCTGTGAGATCATTAGTTTGATTAAGCCATGAATGAGAGTTCACTTCCTAAATTACTTTTTCCTATACCAAAGACTGCTGGAATTAGCTTGAGAACTTATACACCCTTCCCAGGATATTTGACCATTAGCAAAAGGCATATGATTATTGCATGAGACTAAACATGTGGCTTGTCTAATTAGGCTTATAAACTTTCACAACCATTCAATAAAATATAGAATACATTAATTAGGTTTCACACCGGCAGTTAACAAACACTGACCTATGCGCCAAATCTAGCCTGCCTTGGTTTTGGAAATAAAGCTTTTTTAGAACACAGACATATTCATTCATTCATTCATCATCTATAGCTGCTTTCATTTTTTTTTTTTTTTTTTTTTTTTTGGTACTGGAATCGTACTCAGGACCTTGCACTTGCCAGGCAGGCACTTGTGCCACTGAGCTATGTCCTCAGCTTCGCTGCTATCGTGTTACAATTGCAGCACTGAAGAGCTGGGACAGAGGCAGTGTGGTCCATGAGCCTAAAGATGCACCATCTGGCACTTGTAGAAGAGGCACCCCATCTCTATTTTACATTAAAAGGTGGCATTCAGTGGAGGCCCACTCGAAATGTGCAGTTTTAGGTCATTCCAGTTGGCTATTAAGATTCAGGTACCTTTGTGACCACATGAAACAACAGTGCTTATTCATGAAGAGTATGTGGGTATTCTGTGGACATAATGAAAAATTTCCTAGAAAGAAAGATAGGAAGAATGACAGAAAAATGAAAGGATATTTCTCTATTTAACATCATAATAAAATTAAAATTCCACTCATAAACAAGAAACTCCACTTCGATTTTTCCCTCTGCACTGAACAACTTCTGGAATGCCGTTACACCTGCGCGAAATGTAACCCAAAGTGATCAGACACAAAAGGAGACAAAGGAAACTTTGCGTGGCGTGGTTAGTTCCCAGGAGTGTCATGGTCGCCATCTCCGTAAGGCCAGCCCCAAACTGCAGCCATAACAAGCTGTTGTCATAAAGGCAAAAATCTACGAGAAAAGAAACAAAAAACCAACATCAGATTCATCATACTGACTTCAAGAGAACTCATTTCTAAGCGGCAGCTGTGTGGAGTTTGACTAATCTAGCCAAAGACACTCTAACACTTACACATTCATGCTCCATCGATCTGTTTTCATGGCTTATGCTTTGTTTTATCCCCGTCTACCACTGTCTCTTCCTCAAAACATTCTAGACCCCAAAGGTGCTCTCATCTGTGAACAGCCCTATGCTGAACCTCTGCCTACATACTGGGTTCCCTTATTAAGAATTTATGAACCCCCAGGCAATGTATTAAAAATCTGAGTTTTCTACTCATATAGTAGCAAAGATAGGAACCAGAAAGCCTGAGGATGTATCAGATCATTTCTATGACGTTAGAACTCAGTGACAAAACACAGATAAATCATCCCTGGCTCTTCTAAAGGAAGCACTCCTCATGTGCTAACCTGTCCTCTATTTTAAATGATTGTCCTTAGGGGCAAAGAGGGGTTCTTTAGTACCTCATACATGTCCATCACTGTATTTGGTGCCCAGAAGCAAATGGTAGGTACTGTGGTCACAGTTAGGGGTTTCTCATTCTCCTGTCTCTGTAGCTCTGTGTCTGTGTCTCGCTCTGTGCTGGGGCTTGAACCCTGTACCCATGCCTGCTAGGCAAGTGCTTTATATTGAATTTACCCCAAGTCTTGGTGCAGGGATTTCTAACAGGGAACCACAGCTCTGGCAAGATGTACCAAATTCACTTATGGAACATTTCCACCCTTTACTTACAAGTTGCTGTTCTCCTTCCCTTCCTGCCAGTGCTCTGACACATTTCTAATTTTCTCTGATATATTTCTAATTTACAGATTGTCCTCTGAATGAGACTGCTTTTGCTATCTATTATTAGTTAAGTGGAATCTTCCTGTTAAAAGAAAAAGAGGAGGGATCAATATCGTGCCATCCATGAGTGGCTGATGCTTTGGGAGCTCTGAAAACTCAGAAACAAGAGCTCCCTCTAGGTGGGTCCTTGGGGGTGTCTGTGAATAACCAGTAGCTGCTCCCAAAAGCATGGAGTTTACTACAGCAGTTCCGCAGGCAGAGAGGGAAGGAAAGGACAGCAGGCCCAGAGGCATGGGACTGCACCGGATTCCTGGGAAACCAGGCTCTCAGCCAAAGGCTGTGCTGGTGGGAAATTAGGGACCTCGGCCGATCTTCACATTCGTGGCCATCTGCCATTCCTGGAGAAGTAGGAACTAGGGTGACAACTAGCAGGTCCATTTGGGTAACAGAAATATAGCCAGCACCTGGCAAAGGAGGGGCTGAAAGTGAGAAAGGAGCCAGTGGGAACTGGTGAGTAACAGGCAGAGGAAAAAAAAAAAAAAAAGAACTCCAAGTCCCTGCACTTTACAAAACTGTTAAATCGAGTACTTTCCTAATTGTGGTCTTTGGATCACAAGGACTCCAAGCATTTAATTCCATTCTCAGGGAGGATGAGTTGCACAGAGGTGGCTTCAGGAAAACAGAGGCCAGGTGACACCAAAGCCCACCTCCCTGACCTTCAGCTGGGGAACGTGTGCCTGCGTCTTCTCCACGTATTAGGTTTTGAGTAAGATTTCTCTGAGAAACATGGTTTTATTTTTTATAAAAGAAAGTGTTAAAATCCCCAGCCTAAAGCACACTAAAGCCTCAGCTATTTCCAGTGGCTTGGCAAGGCTGTCTGTCACCATGCTGCAGTATCCACAGTGCCACCGTTACCGTAGGACGTCCCTGGGACGGCACAGGCCCAGGCAGGTGTGGATGATGACACGGGCAGCAGCACAGGTTACCTGGGCAGCACATGAAGGTCAGTATCTTGCTATTTAGCCTATTCGATATCAAGGCATTTCAGAGAGTAATTTTGACTTGTTCTATAAGAACAAAATACTAGTTCTTCAAATTACCCAGTCAATGCAAAATGACGGATTCTTTGCAGTACGTCAATTACAGAGGATAAACATTTCGGAAGGTGCCTCCCGGAATGCAGCCACGTCACCGGGCGCTGCTGAGACAAGGGCTGCAGCCTGGCCTGCCAGCTCTCAGGTACCTTCCCCAGCAGCAGCACTGAGCCGATTCATCCTGTGACCATGTAGATCCAAAGTGTCCCCAAGAGTCTCATGTGTGGGAGGACATGGGGAGGCCATAGCTGATTTGCTGTCAGGAGAAGGGGCGTGACTGGAGTGGGGTTCACTGGGGGTATCCTTGTCCCTGGGTCCCCTCCTCACCCCTGCTGCTTCCCTCCATGGGGTCCTTCCACCGTACCTTTCCTGCCTTGGAACCATGGCTTGAATCCTCTAAAAACCAGGGCCAAACTCAACCTCCCTCCTTTAAGCTGCGGGTATTAGGTATTTTGCTCCACCTACTAGACAGTGACTAAGACGCATCCCAACCCCAACCTCTTGGAAACTACCTGCCAAAAGGCAGGCCTGGGCAAGCATCCACTCAGTTAAAAGGAATCGAAAGAGGTACCGAGTACTAGAGAGCACATGGAGCAAATCTCTCTCACTGAACCTGCACATTCAAAGAGGTGAACCGCACAATGACCCTGTCTCCACAGCAGATTTTGCTGTGCAAGCAAGCAGGGCTATGGACTCACTGTCATCTGACAGGACATTGATTCAGTCACGCCCAGTGCCAGGGTGGGGACAGCACTGGCCCACTAAGCTCTATGAGGTCAATCGCTATAATACGATAGTGGTTATGGTTGGGGAGAGGATCGAGGCTGGGGCAGTTTCCTCCGCACCCCTGGCGTGGGGAGGGAGGGCTGGGGAGGTGATCTCCCACACTTACGGTGGCCGCCACGTTTATACTGTACTGGTGTTCATTCAGGAGTGGCTGCTCAGTCTGGGAAACGTTGCAGTGCAGATCATGAAGGGCGGTAGCCGCTGCCTCCAGGAGAGAGGCTCCAAAGTAGAAGACGAACACTACGAAATGGTAGGCAAAGTCCTGGGGAAGGACAGACAGACGTCTGCAGTTACATGAAAAGGATTTTTCTTTGTTTTTTTTTTTTTTTCCTGTTCCTTATTTTAAAGGACAGAGTTTAAGTTCAGGATGATCAGAAATGTAACTGACCAATATTAAGTCTAGTCATCGTTTATTTTGGCTGCTTTAGCAATGTCAGGCTATTAGAATCCAGCTGAAAATTGATGGACCCATTTTATTTGATAAAAGGGAAAACTTCTGAGGTATTCAATTTTATAATAAAATGCATGAGTTTGGTTTTTGAATGAAGATGCATAGAGACTGGCATTAATTAACATACTGTTTAAAATTCAAGTAAAATAGCATTTAAATTACATCCTATTTTACAGCTACCTGTGTTTTTTAAATATTTTATTTCTGAGAGGTTATTTTTATCATTAGAACATCTTATATGCTGAAAGATAAAACAGCCTTATTAAATCATAGAATTCGAAGACATATGTCCTGTAGCACTAAAAATAACAGAAACAGTGATTTATTGGGTTATTCTGAACATGTTGGAATCAACATGAAAGTAAGTATTAAAATTCCTTCTGCCTGACAGGGATTAACACTATCCACACGCTGCTATATTTAAGGCTTCCACGGACCGTGTACTTCAGGTGCCTTTCTGCTTCCTTGCAACCCTGACTTGTTATCTCCACTTCAGAGTTTCCTTTCTTTTTAGTTAATGTCCCCAAATTGCAATGAACTTTTGGAAGGCAGCTCGATCACATGCCTACCTGGTTCCAGAGTCTACATACTGCTCTAAACACTGATTGACCAACAGAAACCGGGCGCATTGTGTATCCTGAAGCAAGCACACACAGGTCCACGGGTGGAAGCAGGTCGCTTCCGTGTCCAGCTCTGGGAAACACTGCTGCAGTGACGTGCGGTGCAGACAGCTCTCTGACACACACATGTCACTTCCTTCAGACACGTACTTGGGGGTGGGAGTGCTGGATCTCAGCGTGGTTCCATTTTTGAGTTTTTGAGAACCTCCGCACTGCTTTCCATGATAACTCTGTCAATGCACACTCTCCATAAGGCCGTTGGAGGGTTCCCTTCTAGTCTACTTTCTTTCCACTCCATCGCGCTGTGTCCATCTGCACGGCACAAGCAGAGGCCGTGCTGCACCCTTTGTCACAGCCCACAGGACTGTGCTGATGATGCCAGGAGAAACAGCCAGGCCAGACCTCACTAGGCAGGGTTGGGTACCATGAATGGTGTTTTCTCTTAGACACCTCTCATTTGTAAACCAACGACTTCAGAAGATTCAAACATCTACCTACAGGAAAGACATTCAGGTACATGTGGTATTCAGTGACCACTAGTTCGAGGTCGGTATCCACATTTACTATATTCACAGTGGGGATGTAATTTGTTAAGTTGGGTGTCATGCTGCTGGGAGACTCTGACCCCCAGGGGATCCATCTGCCCGAGAGGACAATCATGCAGCTACCTGTGGTGGTTCAAGCCACTGCCCTGTTCAATGTCAGTACTTTTAGGGGTGAAATGTAATAGCACAATGTACTGATGAGGGGAAACTGAGAAGGTACCTTCTTGACCACCAGGGCCTCATTTCGCTCAGGATGCTCAGTTCCGAGCCGAAAGCAGCCCTTTTGCTCCTCTCTGGACAGCAGCCTCTCTGGCTGCAGTTTGGGTCTTCAGAAGAAGCGCCCGGTGCCCCAGGTTCTGGTGGGTTTGGGGTGTGCTGCAGGCTTTAGCCAAGGCCACATCGTCCAGGTGGCACTGACACACAGCAGGGAGGGTACTTACGCCCAGCACAAGGTCTTAAAGGACAGACTGCACTCTGGAGCATCTCATGGATTTGGCCAAGCCCTCATCACCATGGGAGACTTTCTGCCTTACTGTCCTTCCTTCCGCACTGTCCTCTACAGGTGACACCTTCTCCCTTCTCCTAAAAAAAGCCATGGGCCAGAAGACTTCTTATGCTTCTAAAACCGTTTTAAGGGCTGCTTCCTAGGGGCCCGAGAAGACGCACACGGAGGCAGCATCGGTCCTCTTGCTGAGCTTCCTTGCTCCTCCTCGATCATCACAGTCCTATGCGTGCATGGACCCTGCAGGGACTCCTGCATGGCCACTGTCCATCACAGTGCACTTCCTGCAGCCATTCTTGGGGCTAGGCGGGTACTGTGGCCGTATCCCTGATCTCTGAGAACACGGCTACTGGCACTGACAGCTGGCCATCCATCCTGGAGGCTGTGCTCCAATTCCTGTGTGAGAAGCGGGTGAGGTCCCCGAGGGCCCCTCACTGCCCAGTCAGCCTCAGGTCAGCCTCAATCTGTGTGTTCAGCTTGGCGGTTCTTCACATCTGGGCATCAGGGCCACACGGATAGCTGGTCCACCACAGAGGGTCCCCACCCGAGCGCCCACCCAGTGGCCTGGGCGGAGCCTGTGGATCGGCGTTTCTGATGTGTTTCCAGGTGCTGCTGACACTCTGTTCAGCAATCGCTGTCCTTGGCATTAGAAGAGGACCCTGGTCCCCTTCTGAGGCTCCTTCCCACGCCCTGCTCCTCTCCCCACTTCGCAGGGCTCACACCCCAGAGCACTGCCCCCTTGTCCTCTTCGCCTTGCCATGGCAGCCTCAGCCTGCAACAGAGCTTGGATGATCAAGCATTGCCTGCCTGACCACCTCCCACATTCTTGTCGCCAGTCCTGCCTTCCTCTTCTCTTGGGTCAAACTTTCACTGACCTGACCAGTTAATGACAACAGCTTTGTCATGCGTAGGAGGATCCTGGTTACCTCCCTGCAGCATGAAGAGGGACAGTGACCACTCTGAGCTCAGGTCCCCACAAGATGACAATGAGAACACTGCCATCGGGAAAGAACTGGCCTCAGGCCAAAGAAGGAAATAGATGTGGGGCAGAAGACACAGCTCAGGGCATTTACATCATTACATGATGTTCACAAGAGGAAACTGATCAAGTATGTGCCAGGCAGACACCTGAGGGACAAAGGGAAACACGTTTAACTGCACAGGATTTCTAAAATACACACGATACATACACATACCATGTCCCATGATGAAGGCAGTCATGTATAACAAACATGTGCTAATAAAATAGCTCATCTTTCCTAGCATACCTTCTCTAGAGAAGGGGTAATATGTAAATATGGAATGTTTGCCTTCAAAGCAGGCAAAACAACATTATTTCCTCTACACACACACACACACACACACACACACACACACACAACACACACACTACAATACGTCAAGGCTAAAATTTCCTTTTCTCCAGATTAGAATGGGGTAAGGTTTTAGCATTTAATATACATTATTTCATACTGCATTTTTCTCCCACCAGTTATACGAAATCTAGATAGCTTGGGGAGAAATACTGAACACATATATTACTATGAATGTAAATTTAACCAAATGAACAACAACAAAAATAAGACATACTATCACCAGGATACACGGAATTCTTGAAGAAAGTAGATTATTGATCTAAATGCAGTCTTGCTTCCCTCAAGCATGGCAGAAGGTAGCATGAAATTATGATCAAAGGGGAAAATTCATTTTAAGCAATTATCATTTTCCAGTTCCAGATTGCAGGAATTGAAAACTGTTACCAGCTGGAGATGACTCCATGATAAGCACAGCTCAAAAATCTTGGTTAAGAGTACACGAGAACTACTACAAAACCTATCAAAAGCTGGTCCTGACATGGCACACGGATGTGGAGAATCACATAATAAAGGGGGGAGAAGGGAGCCTCCTCTGCACAGCAGCAGCATGTAATAAACTCCAGGAAGGCAGGCCTGGCTCCTTGGAAGCGCGCCCACAGACCGGGCGCTCCATGCTGCCGCAGCCTCACGCCATGCAGTATGTGTGGCTGCTACTGGAAAAACAGCTTTGACTCAAAAATCTAACATCTGAAATGATCCCAGGTCCAAACCTCCTGGACAGTAAAGTCAATGCAAATATTCCAAAATCTAAAACATCCCAAGTGTGTCCTGTGCTACTTTTTCCCCAAACATGGACTATTTAGAAAAGCAAATAACAACAACAACAACAACAACAACAACAAAAAAAAATAAGCACAGACTAAGACAGACAGGAGGGTCTTCCCAATTTCAACTGTTACCTAGTGGTGTGTGATTAAAACAACAAAAACCCTCACTTTTTGTTTCCTGAACATTGGATACAATGCTGTGAGAAGTGCAAATGTGGGAAAACTAATAAATGACTAATTTATTGCAATCAGTATCAAAGATAAGGCTCCATACAAGCAAAAGGGGGAAATGCAAAGGAAATGCAAAAGGAATATGTCTAATAAAACCAGGAGTGATATCTGAAAAATATTTACACATTAGGGAGGCAGGTGCACAAGCCAGTTAGAAAGAATACCAGGCATTGCTAGGCCCTGGACTGTGTGTGTCCAGGTCTTCACCCTCCACTTGCTGGGCTAACAGGAGACCCAGAAAGGCCCACGGGAGGGGCCAAGCTGGGGTGTGGCACAACCCCGAGAGGCTGCATGCAGGGGTGGTAACTATTGGGACTACTGAGGCACACACAGGGCCCCTGTGGTACAAACTGGCCCAGTATCATCTTTGGGCCTTATACTAAGGAAACCTGGTTTTGCTTCTCAGTGCTAGGGTTCCACTGATTCATTCTCAAATGTCATTATGGAAAAGCCACACATTTAGGAAAAAGGAGATTACACATCTGTGTGTAATCCAGTTAGGGACCCTTGGTCTTTATCACATGACCAAGTCATTTTCTCATCATTAATGAGAAATTGGGCTGAAAAATGTAGCAACCAATATATCTGCAACCTAACAGAAACAGAAGGGTTTTCAAAGTTCCAAAATATAAGGCTCCATGTATGAAGAATTTAGAACTGCTGTTTCTGTGCATTACAGGGGCACAGGGCTAAGATAACCCATCATCCCTTATTCTTTAATGGCGTTTGGTCTTATGGTTACCATTTCTTAAAAGAAACAATTAAAATTCTGAGAGGTTAACTATTTTGCCCAAGGCTTACAGCTAAGGGGACCTAAACCCCAGGCTGTGAAAGGCTGTAACCACCGGGCCCTGCACTGGCTTAAAGGGCAATCACGTTTGCTAGATCTCACTGTGGCTATCATTCAGCATTAACATTCTCTTTATGTTCTATAAAACAGAGATACTTTCCTCCAACACCTATGCGACAACTGCTGAATAAAATATTGCTCTACTCAAAGGAACTTATCTAAGCCTGACTGAAGGTCTGATCTCGGCAGACCTCGAACACCAGTGTGATCAGAACCTCAGGGGGCTCTTCCTGGACTCTACCACTGCACTGTCTACCATGGTGTGGAAGTCATGCTCCAGCGGGCCTTGCAGAAATGGTCCCCAGGATGGAGGACGCTGAGTGAGAGAGGGCCCAGCCGTGATCTGGGACCACAGGAACTAAGGTGAGCTGGTTTAATAGTATCACATTTTAAAAACTGTACTGATCACAAATTTATTTTCCAAACTTAAGAACTTCTTCAGGACAGGGATTCATCATAAAACATTTTTTGTAAGTATTCGGAGAGCAGAATATATAGCTAGCTGTCTTCTGACACAAGAACATATAGTCTGCTCCCTGTTTCCCAGGACCTCCCATCCACGGATTCATCCATGGTGCATCAAAAAAAGCAGGGAAAAAATCATGTCTCTACTGAAGTCGTACAGATTATTTTTGTCTTTATTTCCTACATATACAACTGTACAGTATAAAAACCATTTGCATTGCATTCATATCTGTTAGGTACTATAAGTAACCTACAGATGACTTAAAGTATCCGATAGGATTGCATCAGTTATAGGCACATATTGTATTATTTTAGATAAGGGACCTGAGATCCGACAGACTCTGGGATACCAGCATACGGGCATCTCAGACACGATGCCCTTCAGATGCCAAGGGCTGACTCTATACAGTTAAATATTCGTTGCAGAAATCAGTGGAAAATTTCAAGACCCATGTGACAATGTTTAGCTCCCAAAAGGCTGTTCCATTGTTCAGTAATTATAATGCCACGTGCCTGTTGTATGAAATGGAAGTTTTTACATAAAAGCTACCTAATTAGAAGAGGAGTCACACAATGATTTCTCAGCTCCATCAGCACAGGAATTTCACAAATGGGGCCCAGCTGTGTGGTGAGGCGAACGCAGAGCACGGCACAGACCCCTGCGTTCTGACCTGTCCTTCCCCCGGGAAGCAGCGAACAGGACAGGGACTCTGGCATCTCTGAGCTGAATGAGACACTGACAGGCTTCTTACATTTCCTTGTGAAAAACAAAACAAAATCTCTTACCAGGAAGTTCCAGTTGGTTTCAATCTGAGTCACCATGCCAGAGAGGAAGAGGCCCAGGAAGGCCAGGGAGAAGAAGAAGGCGGTCACGGACACGAACATGACCCATCCTTGCAGCAGAGGTAGGGGGACGTTGGAGGAGGCGACCAGAATCCAGACGAGACCCCCGAGCAGCTGAAAACGAAAGAGAACACAGGTTTGCTCGCAGACACCCTGGTGCTGGGAAATTAAACGCACTCGCGTCCACCTCATGAAGTCCTATACACATTCCACCACCCCCCAGGCTGTCACTTCTCTTCCATCCCGGGAGAGCTGTGCTACGTGGAGGCAATGCGACTCCATGCCCACGTCCCCCGTTGTACTCGTGCCCTCTGTCCACGAACATGCCCAGTGGCTGCTCCTCATCTAACACCGTGGTCCTCGGGCCCCACCACCTGTCACTCAGCTGAGGCGGGTTCTGCCGGTCTTCATTTCTACCAGCCGCCTGCTCCCTGCTTCCCCCTCCTAGTTACTCTGTAAACCACCGCCAGCTGGATGCTTCACGTTTATCAGTGAAGAGCAGCTGTACTCTCCGATGTGCACATCCAATGGTCATTTTCCTGTGTCCTGCCATTTGTGCACGAGACAGTACTGGCTATGCTTGCAATGAGAGGTTCAGCTGTTGCCCAAGACAGAAAGCAGTGAGAGCCAGCTGTGCCTATCACAGCCCATGCTGCACACCGGCGCATGTACTAAGATGACTTTGAGAGTTATAAATACCAACTGCAAGTTGGCTGCGCTGGGTGGGGTCCCAATCATCACAGAACTCAGTCTGCTGTAGGAAAGGGACAGCGTGGCAAGGGATTGCAATACCGCTTCACAGACATCACAGTGAGGTCAACACTGGGCACGTTGGGTCCCTACAGCAACGGGTCCAGATCCAGACTGGAGAGGTGAGGGAACTCTCTGGAGAAGCAGCAATCCCAAGGGCGAGGATGCCCCTGTTCTGGGCAGGACATGGGATCCCTGAGGGGGCCCCTGCCCAGTGCAGAGGAGGGCTCAGCAGGACCGCAGTGCCAGGTGGGACCCGCAGGAGCTGTGCCCCAAGCCTGGGCTGAGCATTCCGCTGGTCAGGCCAAGGAGATGGGGGAAGCCCATGCCTAGGGCTTCCCAGGGACCATGGGAGAAGCCCAGGCCCACTCTGAGCAGGAAGAAGCATGATCAAGGGGTGCACTGAGGGTTTTCTGTGGCCAGAGTGTGAGAGTGGGTGGGGAGGACAGTACGCAGGCCTGGGGACACCAGGTGACCTTTACAACAGCAGAGCACAAATCAGACTCCAGGTCCCTAAGGACCGGAGCAGCAGGATGAAGGTGATGGGAGGTGGGAGAGGACAGGAAGAAACGGGTAAGGGAAATGCTGGCTCTCTGAGGTGGGTACCCGGGAGGGGGACACGGAGAGGATTCAGGTTCCAGACATCTGGCGGTCATTCTCGCCGCACCCCCCAGGTCTTTGGAATCTGACCGTCCTTCATCGAGGCCTGTACCCTTGTCTCCCAGGCAAGATGCTCCACTGCTCAAAGACAAAGCTCTTTCAAGTCTGAGTGGTCCTGCGTGCTGGTGTTAAGTGTGTGCGCACAGGTGTGCACGTGTGTAAGAAACTCCACTTGGACCTCACCAGCCCACGAGCTAAAGATCTTCCCTGAGTTCCAGCTCACGCTTGCTCACTTCTCACTCCCCAACTCGGGATTTGCTGGCACCACGGGAGGAGAGGAGACATGGGACTGACCAGACGGACCCGCCACCCCACTCCCAGCCCACCCTGCAGCACCTGCTTCCCAGGCCTCCACATTTGCGACTCTACACAGTGACAGACCTGCAGCGTAAGTAACCCTTGCCTATCTGCCGGGCTAGGTGAGTTTGGAACACAGCAGGCAGGAGGCACACCTGCCCTGAGGAATTTCAGTCAATCACTCAATCAGCCAATGGGTCATCAATCTCTCCACACAAAAGGTTCGCAAATATTTCCTTAGTGAACACACTATTGTTCATGTGAGAACAATGTAAGTTTCAACAATACAGACCAGAGACCAACAGTCACCTCTGTCTCGCTTCTTAACTATCTTAGATAATATCCAAAACCCAAACTGCAAAAGTCACTGAAAGTTAAAAAAGCAACTTTTCATTCAGGTTAAAAAAAATGGCATCCTGATAATTAAGTATCAACCTAATAAATGTCTAGTTGGGGCAGGGTACCTCAAGCCCTACTTCCAAGTAAGTTAATAACCCAGAGAATTTTATAAAGTAACTCTAGTGAACCTTAGTGCGGATTAAAAATATTAGCTGCTGCCTTACTTAAAAGGAATAAATTTGCTCCTCATAGAATATCATCTACTTTTAAAGATTTATGATATTACGGTGATGCTATTGTTTTAAATATAGCTTAAGAAATTATTAAGTATCAATTCAAGAATCGTTTACGGGGGATCTGCAAACAACCTGCATTACTTTAAATATGGTTCAATAATACACCCTATTATTAAGTATCTATTGATTCAAGAATCATTTACTGGGAACTCTAACAGCGGGTGGTGTTTACTAGGGGCAGGAGGATTAAATAGCTGAAATAATGCTTCGGAATTATCACAGCTTGGAGTAAACACGGACTGGACTTCAAACCAGCCAGTCCCAAAGGTACTGCTAGGACCTTAGCACACTTGAGAAAAATACACAGAAAAGCAGGCTCGATCTCAAGAGCTCTAAAAAAAGGAGGCGACATCGCACACTGGGGATGCAGGAGCAGATTTCGGGGACGGCTACAGAAAGCTGGGCAACGCGGCTCTGTGAGGCTGGGAGAGGGCGGAGCCAGGGCAGGGAGGGAGGCAGGACCCAGACCAGCTGGGCCGGGCGGGCTGCAGGCTGCGCCCAGGGTTACAGCCCTCCCCAGTGCTCCAAGGTGCATGGACCCCTCACTTTTCCCCCAGGTCAGAGGGTCTATAACACCGAGGAGGTGCCGCACACCAGAGGTGAGCAGGGGACAGGGCCCGCCCACTTAGGAGCCTCCTCCACATCCGGGGAGCCAGGGCTGCTGCGTCGTCACCAGGCCTTTCAAATTTTATTTTTTCCTCAGGCTGGCTTCTCACAGCACTCTTCCTGCCTCAGCCTCCTGCATGCTGGGATCACAGGCATGTGTTACCATGCCCTGCAGTCACGGTGCATTTGTCACCATCGTTTCCTCTTCACCCATGCTCCCTTTCCTCCCCACCTCCCAGCCGGCTGCAGCTGACACCTGGAGTGCTCTCCCCGCATTCTGGGCGGCGGAGAACTCGGGAGTACTCAGCAGACAGGGATTTACCAGCAGCCCTGTTTAACAGAAAGGCCTCTGGAAGGAGTCCAGAGGTTCAAGGTGAAAAGCAGGCACCAAATGGTTAAAATGGGAGCAGAACAGTTGATAAGGTATCCTAGCAACCACAGAGCTGTGGCATCCAGAGGAAAGGCGTTTGGTGCCAAGTCCTGCCCACGTCCTCCTCATCCCGGATAGATCTGGGTCCTCCTTCTGACCCCCCATCCGCCAGGCCTCCTTTCTTTAGTCTCCAGAAGAGCCTGAGGATTACATGTGACACAGCCCTGTGCACCTCCAGGTGAAATTTTTTAAAGGAACTAAATCAGAGCTCACAACTGCAAATCTCCAGCTCCACCTAAAAGGCTTCTCAGGGAAAGGAAAAGCTAAAAGCCTCTCAGAAGCAGGCGCAGTAATCTGCCTTCCCCTGTGACTTGGTTTCCCCTCATCTCCCAGCCCAGCTTCAGATGTGCCTGGCGCAGGCCAGTACTTAATAGCTCCGGAGCTGCAGATTATGAACTGCAGTTATGACGTTGTTACCTGTCCCTAAAACGACCCACCTCCTTGTGGATTAGCAAATAGTTGTCGCCTGAGTTTGTCCACTGTAGATAAGAAGTGTAATGACTTCCCTGTCTCCACACTAGGAAACCATGGAAACCTTCCCTCCACTGGCACACTACTCTGAACCCTCAGTCGAAGCTGAACTGTGTTTTTGATGGAATCTGTGGACTGATAAAAATACAAAGCCCTGGGAGCAATGGTCTTGGGGAGCAGGCGACTTCGGCAGTGAAGAATAAATTTCTCAACTTGTCTCCTACTTGGAAGGTCTGTTTCTGTTCCCAAGGGATGCCTTTTGCAAATATCCCCTTTCCTTTTCAAATCTCAATTATTTAATGATCTGCCTTTTGGCATACACCTGACAGCTTAGCCGATAATTTGCCAACCACCCTTTGACACCTTCCTCTTAATTTGTCCTTTTTCTTGTAATAATTAAACAGGCTGATTCCTGCTGTGACCTGTTTTCAGTTATTACTGGAAAAAGAATAGAGAAAAATAAGCGAACCTGAAGGGGTCAAACACTAAACTACCCTAAGTAAAAAATTACTCCGGTCTGTAGACATTTCTGTATGTGCCGTGTAAGCCACTCTGGTTCTCCTCTGCCTGTGCTATGGACACTTCATCGCTGCTGCAGGGGCCTATCGGATGCAGAAAACCTCGAATCCTCCTCTGACAGACAGAGTTTGAGCAGGAGGTGAGGCTGATGACAGCAGAAATATCAGCAACATCTACTGAGCTCTTGTGTTCCAAGCACTGTTCCAAGAGTTTTCTCTATACCAATCTAATCTTCATAAACCCTGAGATACGATGATTCCTACTTTACAGATAAACTAATGGGGCCACATAGCCTAAATTATACAGTTAACAAATGTTAGACCTGTGGTTTGAACCTATTAAGTGGCTTCCAAAGCCTGTGCTTTGAATATTCTGTTCTGCCTCATTCAAGGTTTAGTACTTACTCCAGAGAAGGGCTTTTATCCATTTTCCAGGCGGTCCCCTAAAATCATATAACACTGGGCAGATGAATATACATGCAGCTTTCTGAGGACCCAGCCCTAACTTTCATGACAGTGCCAAAAGGGTGTGTAGCCTCTCTAAAGGTGGGAACACCTTATCTGCATGTGAAGCTCCTGATTTTAGGGGATGCTCGCTATTGGGCACCTGCTCATGAAACAGTACGGTCATGGAAGTGTTCAGCATACTTAGAAATCCATCGTGTAGGAAGGATGGGCTGTAAGCGGTGCCATTTTACACACAGCTAGTATTTTTGGAAGAGTTTTTAAAAATTGGAAACACTGCAATGAATAGATGCAGCATAGTAACCGCAGCTCACAGAAGGGGGAGCGCATGCCCAGGTCGCTGCAGTCCAGGGGGAACGTAGGGGAGAGCCCTGCTGCCCCCTGCCCAGTCAGTCTGGTTCCCCCTTCTGACTGCCTGTCTTTGCCCTCCAGGCACTTCACAGAGAAAACTGGCCATCTCTGCCCACACTTCTCTGCCTTGTGTATGTCCACTACTCTTTGCTACCTAACTAAAGGGCAGCACATTGTACTCCAGAGAGACTTCCCTGCTGGACACTAGCCCTCAGTGGGTCCACATGCATCCACAACCGGTTGGAAAGCACGGATTCACGTGCTTTCTACCCACTAGGTTGTGAGGCCAGGCTCACAGACACTGCCTTAAATATCTCTGTGAGCCCAGAATGCAGGTCAGTGTGGTCTACAAACGAGGCACTGCATCCTCCTTGAAATGAGCCCAAGGCAACCAGCATGTGTATGGAATGAGTCCACCTGAAAACCCTCCAGGAGTGCAGCTTGGCATGCTGGGAACTCACTCCTGTCTGTCGCTCAGCGGGTCCCTGGAATCTGAGGGGGGTTCGTGAAGGCAGAGCATGTCCTTATCCTGGTTTCAAGTTTCTGTTAACAACCACCACTGCCTACCACAGGGTCTTAGGAGGCTGCCATGCAAAGTTACCATCCCATGGCTGCATGTCCATGGGATGGTGCTCAGCTTTATTCTTTTGGTTCCAAATTTACCCCAGTGATTATCATTGCTGGGACTTCTGAGCAGAATGAACCCCGCTCCCTTGGGCCCCTCTCTTCTCATCCCCCTCTTCCCTGTAACCATGCTGTGCTCTACCTGCTCTGGCCCTGGGCTAACCCTGGCACAGACTCAAGTCAAAAGTCAGCAAAGGTTGCTTTCTTTTAACTGGAGAAAGGAGAGATGGATTCTGGGAAGTGATGAGAGAAAGGGCCTCTAGAAGTAGCCTAGGAACAAAATAAAGTATTTGAAAGTTAAGGTTCACTTTCAAGGTTTACATGTGACGTAAGCCTGAGGGTGTACGCAGAGGTATGCCTTCTTGCTGTCCATCTGACCCAAGCTTCCACTTCAGTTTCTTAAACACCCAGGATGCCAACCTTGAGATGCCAAGCACGCGTCATTCAGGAGAAACGTGCTCTGTCCTCATAGGCTTGTTTATAATTTCCTCTGATTTTCGAAATCCTCTTTTCTTGTTTGTAGGTAACCGGTTGTCAAGTAGGTTAAAAGCATTCCTGCATACCAGGGCCAGGAGTTTGGCAAGCGGCCTAGGAATCCCCGTCTCTTTTCTTTCATTCTGCCACCTTCCTCCTGAAAGTTATTCTACAGAAGTCGGAGCCCCAGGGGTGGTTGTGAGGAGAAGACACGGCCCTCCTATGAAATGCTCGGGATGCTCGGGAAATTCAGGTTGGACTGCAGCCACCTGGAGAGAATGATGACACTTTGAGCAGGACCATATCCACACCAGGCTGTCTCTGTCCACAGCAGCAGTTCTTACAGTGTTACCTGATGTGAGATTTGGTGTGCGCTTAGAGCAATCACAAAGTATCTCACGCGCATGGTGCTCCGTTGGCCGGTTCCTGCGGTCCGTCCTTCCTTGGTCTTTTGAAGTCAGTCAGACCGACTCAGGCAGGCCCTGTCCCCAGCTCTCTTGCGCTGTACAAAGCAAAGCTCTCCTTGCTCTTTTCCTTGGTAGCTCAAGGTCAATCTTTTCAGCAAGTGGTCTGAAGCTTTCCAAATTTCAGTTCTTTGTAGTTTCACAGGGACAAATGATTGCTGATGCTAAAGTTTTGGCAGGAGCATTGCCTCATTTTCTCTTATGAAAATTTAAATGCTCTTTTACAAGTGGGTGGAGATTTTAACACACACACAAATGAAAACTCTTACTGGATGAAACACCATGGAGAGAGGCAAACCTGTCCCTAACCTCTCTTGCCCACCGGAAACAATGTCCTTGTGTGATTAAAAAAAAAAAATCTATTTTCTAGTTGAGAAAACTAGGCATCAGATTATTGTGTGTTTGTTCACATTTGAAGGCTTTGGTGGAAAAGCTGAACCCCTTTCAAGGACACGTGACGTCTGCACGATGGCACCTGTGCCCATGCAGCTCCTCCCACTGCCCTGTCCCTGAACATTCATTCTCTGCCTTTATTCCTCTCGGTTATGTCTTCTATTTAAATCAAATCTAGTCTGATTTGGGAGCATCAGTCTTTGTATCCTTAGATGGCCTCCTAATCCTTACACTTCTCTCATTTTCTCTCTTCCTTCTTTGATTCTCTTTCAGGTTCTCACTGATCTCTCTGCATTAAATCTCTTTTTTCCTGCCCTGGGTATTGAACCCAGGACCTTTGCACCAGCCTATACTTCAGTTCTGTTTCGTTTTTTGAGACTGGGTCTCAGTAAGTTGCCAGGCTGGGCTTGAACCTGTGATCCTCCAGCCTCAGCCTCTCAGAGGGTTGAGATTGCAGGCATGCTGCACACACCTGGCTTTGCTTTACTACCAGACTTCACAGGAGATGAGAACCTGACTGAGTTTATCTCCATCCTTCAGCAGCTCCCCTTCCGAGATGGAGTAAATGCAAGCCCCAGCATGGCGTTTCTCAGCAAAGCGTGACCTGGATCTGTCCACTGTTTTCTCTTCTGCCACCTTGCAAGGGCTCAGGTTAAAGTTCTCACAGCTGCCACACCTCTCATGCCACGGTCATTCCTGCCTCTGAGGTTTCCCAGTGGTTTTGTCTATGGAGCCCCTGTGCCTGCTCCTGAGGCTGGACTCAAACATCACCACCTCGTGAATGCTGCCTGACCGGGTCTCCCCTCCGGGAGCCGCATGTTCTCTTCCTTGCTTTCCACAAGCTTTTCAGGAATCTACTGCATCACTTCATATACAGCACTGTAAATCTTTCTCTCTTTACAATCCACCTTGCAGCAGGTCCTTCTCCAGGCAAGAACGACATTGCCCATGCTGTTCCCGGCACATAAAAGGAGGCCTGGATACCTGTTAATGATGCCACTATGGCAAATAAATGAAAATTATTTGTGGCATCCAAACCTTACACTTAGAAGCAAGTGAGAGTCCTGCAGTGTCTCTCATGACGAGAGACATGAATGAATGGGAAGTTTCCTAAACACCAAAGGTACGAAATATACTGAATAATCTTCTTATATCTTTTGGTGATTAATACACTGCATTAATTTTTAATGCATTTTACACGATCAGCTCATTGAGAACAGGAAGCCTGAATCTCTTCTTTGGCGCAATAGTAATGAAGCTCCATGGAATTTTCTTCTAGACCACGCTGGAAAATACTTCAGCTTCAGTCGCTGTCCCTCCTGTAACTCCTCCTCCCCGAATGGGAGCTCTTCCCTGCACATCCTTGTCCTCTCAGCTCAGGTTTCAGGGCTCTCGGGTGAGGAAGGAGCAAGCCTCCTCCTCCCCGGAACTGTCCCTTGTGCCCAGAGGCATTACATGAACATCGCCTGATGACTGATTTGGAAACCATTCGGGAAACACGGAGATTTTGAAATTTATAATTTCGGAAGTGATGTTTTTCCATCCTAAACTAAAAGACTTGGCCTTGGCTTTGCAGTGTTAACTTTAGTAGGAAACTCTCAGCATGTGTTGGTGACTATACCTAAGGCCAAAGGGCCAGCAATTTTGGCATCTAGAACAAATTCCCCCCAAGTAAAAGAAACAAACAACATGTATGTGAGAAAGAGATAGTCTCCAGCTGCTGAGAATGTACACACTGCTTCATCTGTTTGGGTTTTATATCTGTTCAACAAACAGCTTCCACCTGAGAGACTGTGAATGCAGTACAAGCGCAGACCGGGGCTGAACTCTGAACAAAGTTAACTGACTTGGGGGCGGAACTCTGAGACCCTGGTCTCATGCTCTCGGCCTCCCATTGATAGTCCGGTCTGTCTTCACTGGCAGCAGCCCTCACATGGTAAATCTCCAGGGCATGCACGAAAGCCGTCAAGGATGGATCCTGCAGGCAGATGGATCTGAATGGAAGATGACTATGGAGGAGCTTAGATATCCAGAAACACTTGCAGGGGCCAAAGTCATTGGCTCCCAGGCTGGGATCACCAAGCACTTGGGATATGGCGGGGCAGCTCTTGCATTTAATTTACAGGGTGAAGAATTTCTGAAGGGGACCCATGGCTATGACTCAGGGTCAGGAAATCAGACAGAAGTGGGAGAGCTGGGAGCACAGATGCTTCGAAGTGGTCACTTAGCTCTCACCTGGGCACCTCTCAGACTGGACAACTGAAATGGTAGTGGACCCAGGTGGCCTCGCCCTTGGCTTTCTCAAATGTACAGTCCAACATCTCCAACCAGTCCAGAGGCTCCCGGGGGGGGGGGGGCAGTGAGTCTGCAGGTCAATGGTTTCATTTGAATGTCTTAATCCTTTTCATGGAGAGGAGACTGTTGGGATCTTGACAGCAAAGAACAGAGCACACGGAGGCCTAGGATCCAAACTCACAAAGACGTTTGGCCAAAGAAGTGGAAAGCGAACTGAACGGCCCTGGAAGGTGATGCTGTTCTAGGTAACTAAGAGTCTGAGACTTGTGTCCAGGGGCAGCAACCAGAGGGGAAGAAAAGATGTGCGAGCAGATTGTATCTTGGGCTGAGCCTGGCTCCTCCCCTGGCATGGGCGGCAGCAGAAATTCTAGCAAATCCAGAACTCACGTTATCTTAATTAAGCTCACTGGGACATTTGAGGTACACCAGATGATCACATTCATCACAAGGAATCTGTACCCATATAGGATACATCTTGAGGTGATTTTTCCCCATTCCCCTCCCCTCTCTCCAACCCCCTTCTCCTTTGCCACACAGAGTCTGGAGGAAGGGCTCCCAGTCACGACTCTATCTTCAAATCTCCAGGGTAACTTGTAAAAAAAAATACAAAAATTAGCAGACTCTGGGTACGCCCCCAGAGATTCTGATTGAACTGATGCAGGGTGGCGACAGTATTTTAAAAAGCTGCCAAGTTTTTAAGTATAGTACATGTTGAGAACCAATAACTTGGCTACAGGAAAAAGAGAGAGAGACGGGCATAGCAGGGAAGGAAAATGGAATAATTCACTTTCACTTCCCCCACTAGGACTTAGCACTGTTTCCTGAAATAATTTGCACCATAACTTCAGGTGGCTCTTAAGACAGCATTCGATTCCATAGCACAGATACGCTTCCGTTGCACACATAAAAAGTTTACATATACACACAAACGCATCTCAACATACACACATGTATATCTGGATAGGTATTAGAAACACAGGAACATTCATTCTGGCAAGCTTGAGATTTCCTGAACATTACTGCTTAAGAGGAGGCTACTTTATTAATGATGTTTAGGAAGGCTGTCTACATGCGCATTCTGGAAACTCCAGCACAGGGAGGATGTGGCTAGGAACGTAGCAAAAGCTTCTCAAAGAGACAGGCAAACACGTGGGACTGAAGATGAAAACTCCTCTGCAGAGGTTCCTGTCCTAAAGGGATCTCTCTGCCTCCCGCAGCCGAGAGCTGGTCCAGTGCCGTTCTCTCCTGCAGGCCTGCAGCTTATTCCAAGCTCGGGGAGGCTTCTCCATGGGGCGTCAACCCAAATCACCCTCTTTGGTGCTCATGGTCTCTGTCTGATCACGGATGCCACAGGCTTAAGTGGGTTTCTTCTTTTGGATTCCAGTCTGGAGCTTACCTTCAGTGAGGGTGGCTGGGCGTTAGCATACCCGACGGAGAAAAGCAATGCTTATAAGGTGTTCTGGCCTCTCAGGCACCAAAGTGACATCCAAGTGACCCAAATCCCGGTTATGCAAACCCAAAGGAGGGGAATGTGTGGAGTAACCTAACCAAGCAAACAAACCTGCCACAGAGCCAAGGCCTTGCTAACTTTTTGCTCCGAATTAGCCGTTCTCAGGGCGAGATGCAACCCCGGTTGCCCAACTTCTATTTGTGCATTTTCCCCTTGCCTACAAAAAGCTTCGAAAGCTTCCAACTTAAAAAAAAAAAAAAAAAATTCTGTGAACAAGTTCAAGAGTTGCAAGCCCAAGAAGGCTGCAAGAGGAGGGCCTGGCGACCCTACCTGCCTTCACCAGGGCCCTGAGCACCGAGCTGAGCGGGTTGGAAATTCTGCAGGAGCCTGGAAACCCGGGAGGTGCCGGGGCCAGGAGAAAGTAGGCGAAGCCCCGCGTCCACCTTTCCCCGTCGTCCTCCGCACGCCCACTGGATTAGAGCGTGCCACCTGCCTCGTCCGGCCCGCTTCTGCCCGCCCGCACAGTCCCGATCCAAAGGGCACCGAGGGTGGCGAGGGCGAGCGGGAGGCGCAGTGGAGCCAGGCCCGGCTCCTCCTCCCGCTCGGCCCCGCCTCGCCCCGCCCGCCCCCTCCCGGAGGCCTCGGGCCCCGGGCACCTGCGCGCCACCCCCACGATGGCAGGGTGGCCGCGGAGCCCGCGCGTCCCGCCAGGTGCCCGGCCCGGGCAGCGGGGCCCGCAGCAGGTGCCCTGTAACAGGTGCCGGGCGAGCGGGCCGGAGCGGGCCGCCGGGAGGGGGCGCAGGAGCCGAGGCGGAGGCGGCGGGCGCGCGGGCACCACCCCCGCCCGGGGCGGCGCCGCCACCTGTGCTCGGTCCCCAAGCCCGGAGCGGCCCGGCCGCCGCGCCACTTACGATCTCCAGGCAGACGAAGGCGCCCGAGTAGGTCCGCAGGATGTCGGGGCCGGAGGGCAGGGTGATCCGGGGCGACGGGAAGGACACGGCGGGGTTCGGGGGCGGCACGGACGCCCCGCCGGCCGACATGCTGCTGCGGCTGCTGCGTCTCCGCGCCGCCGCCTCGGGCTCCGCCGCCGCCTCCCGGTCGCGAGGGGGCGGGGCTAGGGGCGGGGCGTGGGCTCGGGGCGGGGCCAGAGACCCCGCCCCGTGACGTGGGCCCAGGTGCGCGGGCCAGGTGCGCGGGCCAGGTGCCCAGGTGCAGCCGCGCCCTGCTGACCTCGCGGGTCCGCGCGGCCGCCGGGGTCCCCGGGGCGTCCCCTCTCCCTCCTGCTCCTGCCCCCTCCGCCCCTCCTGCCTCGCACCTGTCCCGCCCCCCCTTTCCGCGGTGTCCCCGAGGGCAGGGCGTGGGGCTGACTCCAGAGGTAAACTCTGGGTCACAGCCGCCCTGGGAAGTGGGTTTCTAATGGAATTTTTTATCGTATATTTAATTTTTTTTTTTTTTAAGAACGAGTGGCAATCACCCTCACTGATAACGCTGCCAGTAGAGAACGTGAGCTTCTCTGAGGCCCGAGCGCTCTCTGAAGCTAAATTCTGGAGCTGCTCAGACGCAGGTGTTCCCGGGTGGGACCCGGCCTCACACGCCCTCCGCGGGCTCAGTGCACCGAGCTGCACACGGGCTCTCCTGCCTCCAGAACCTCCCTCTAATTCGCTTTTCCTTGGCTGTCCTTCTTGCAAGGTGTAGTCTAGGAAGGAAGAATGGTATCTTTAATTTTTTTTTAATTATAGAACATATAAAACATTTACAAGAATTAGGCAGTATAATCATAAACATCCACAAAATGCCGCTGGGCAGCGTCGCCCTGGCTTCTGGTGACTGGGAATCATCACCTGTGGGCGGGGATCCCGGCTGCTGTGAACCCCAAGAGCGGCTCCTCTGATGTGAAATGGGCCATGGTTGCCTAAGTTGGCCCCTGTACACCACGAAAAGTAAGCGCTCCTTCAGTGACAGCCGATGACAATTTTTCCATTTTTTTGTACACGTCATGTTATGCTATAGACGCGAGATGCTGCGTAGGTTAAGTCCAGATTCTACCTAACTCTTTATTCCATCTGCCAAACTTCTCGTCCCTGCCTTACAAACACGATCTCTTCATAAAAGGAGTCTACATGGGTCCCCACTTGACCTTTGGTTTGCATGCAACATTTTGTCAGTGAAATAAAGGAGATAAGATTAATTTTGTCAAAGATCAGCAGAAGGAAAACTACACACAAGCACAGGTGTCCATCAGGTTAGCTGATGTCAGGAGACATCCTCCACTGGAATCCGGATCTTGGCTATCAAGCTGAGTCTCTGGAAGCTGTGTAACTCCACGCACTGGCCGGCAGGTTTTACTTAGCCGCGCCTGTATTATTTTAATAACCAAAACTCACAGGCGTCGTGATGGCATCAAGGTAAAAACCACAAAGCAGGGCGGGGGTGAGGCCTGTTGTGTATGCCGTCAGCTGCCCCACTTAATCCTCACTTCTGCTGTTCAATAGGAAATTTTGTGTTTTCCGTATTTATTTGATCAACAAACCTTTCTGTATTCAAACCCTCATTGGCAGGGAGTGGTCTGTTTTATTTTCTCCGCAGAGTTCTCAGTAAGCTCCTGAAGAATGCTCAAAGGGAGACAGGTTGTGACAATGTGAGTACCCTGGATGTGTTCGGAGGATTCTAGGGGATGAACAGGGAACCACTCGGAATTTCCTGACACGCTGATCACCCAGAAATGCTTCCAGTGAGCTTGTGCTAAAAACTGTTTCCGAGGGGACGGTTTTCACTGGGTCCCCTCCGTGCCCGCCTAGCTACACACATCCCTGGCCCACACCCGCCTTGGCCCCTTTACCTCCTTCCACAACCACCAGCAGAGTGAAAAAGGTCCTCCTGGAGTCCTCTTCCACTGCAGCATACCTGCTTGGAAATGAACCTTTCTCTAGAGAGGTTTGCCCCTCTCAAGAGCCCTCCCAACACCTCATTGGTCTGGATTTTTTATTTTCAGCAGCTCTGGAATGGATGGAAGAAAGTCCCTCCCCCAGGCACCACTCTGTCCTTTTCCGTGTAAGTGACTGTGAGCTCTTACCGGATTCATGCGTCTGTTCTTCTCCCCTCCACTTCTGTGGTTCACCAACCTCCAGCCCATGGACCTCCCACTACACCCCTTTTATTGGGATGACAATGTCATTACACTTTCCACAACGGTTTGCTGCCCGTGTGAGCCCAAATCGCATGTGGATCCACTTAGTTAGTGGGCATTTTGTTCTGGCCATTCTCTCTGAAGCCCACCTCCTGTCCCTTTATTTCTCTTTCACCAGGTCTTTGGGCTCCAGATGTTTGCCCCTTCGCTGTCTCTCCTTGACCCTGTCCTAATTTTCCTGGCTTTCCCAGCCAGCTGGTGCTCATAGGGAGGTGCCTGTGTAGCCCCCCCCATGTTATCTGCCTTGTTCTCTGCTGTTAATGCACCTCTGCTGCTCTTTTCAGCTTGGGTTTGATCTTGCATCTACCTCTGCTCTCTGGGGCTCTACTGCTACATTCTCCAAGACTGCTTGAGGGACATCGGAACCGAGACTCGTTCTCTATCATGTTAGGAGACGTGATTGGGCTTTCGGGACCCTCAGCCGGCCTTTGCCTGGATCTCCCACCACTTTCCTGGTTATTTCCCACTGCTTCTCTCACTGTCTCCACCACTGCGTTTGGTGCAAGTGGACATGTGGAACAAAATAAATCTAGACCATGCCAGTCTTCCCTTCTTTCTTTTATTTTGCAAGACGTTTTAGAACTTCTAACCAGTAATACTTGTTTCATTGAAAACTCTGCCATTAATCCAGTTACCAAGACAAACACCTGGGTGTTTCCCTCAGCGCCTCCTCTCCATGCTACAGATTTAATCACTTTCAGGCGCTGGCAACATGCCTGTGTACTCGCGGTGTGTATTCTCCAGGATGTAACCCTTCCCTCCACCCCCCACTCGTCTTACATCACAGGGCACTGCCCCTACCCACAGTGACTCCTTTACCATCTCGCTTCCCTCTCTCGTGTACTCCACCCTGCCTTAAGAATGACTTTAAACACGACACTCACTTCTGGAGGAACAGGCACCCTGAACTACCTACTTTTCTTAGCATCAATTCCTAACACCGTGGTCCAGAGTAGCCCAATGGTGGTGATCTGATGCACACGTGCCTCCGTGGGCATGGAGGGCTCAGTCGGTGCGTGAGCCAAATCGTTCCGGCATTGTCCCAGCCTCTGAGCACTGGATACCAGTTCACATTGAGGCAGTGCTGGCACTTTGTGCCAAGTAAGTTTTGTGCTGCAGTTTGGATACTAGGTGTCTAAGTTTCTCCAGTGCTGCAGTGGAAACGTATCCTTGCTTTCAGCCAGACTTGATGGGTGGTTTCTTTGGGAGACAGGCACAGTTCTCTCCCATAGCCTTTTCCAGCCCCCTCCATATTATATCCTGGCTGTGTGTTCCTATTTCCTGCTATGCTTGCCGCAATGGAGGGCCGTTATCTTACTGAACAGAAGTGGTATTTTTACTTGGCTCGCATCTCTTATCTCTTATCGTATAAAGGGATGTTAAAGTGAAAGTTTCAGTAGAGGAATCAAGAAATGATGGACATCAGATACCAGTGTGAGCCAGGAATCAGACCATCAGAACTTTTAAAGTGACAAATTAGATAATCTATCAATCCCTCGCTTCACTGAGAATATGAAAATGTCAGGAATGAGAGAATTTGAAAGGGGAGCGGGAGCACAGGAATCACACTTCATTCTTCCCCGTCCCATCCTCTCTTCCTCGTGGGAGGAGGAAGTTGACCTTTATTCCCGTGACATACTAGCAGCTCAAGTAATAGCAGCTGACCAAATGAGCCCTGTATCTAAATTTCTCGGCTTTATCACTGAGACTTTCTGCCTGTTTCGTTAAACTTTTATGTTTTTTTCCACACAAGTTGAGCCCCATCCCAGCTTTCCCGTGTCAACCCTTTCTGGTTCCTTTAGGAAATCCACCCCCTAATCTTCCTTCCTTTCTCTTGAGCTTTCAATGTGACTTTACACTTAGCCTTGTATGGACACAAACAAATTTCACATCACCAAAAATGCCTTATTTCTGCCCAAACTAGAACAACAAAAATGTGTTATTCTGGATTTACCTTCTCTGCATGAAGCACCCTAGACTCCAGAGTAAGTATGTGAAACAATGATTTTTCAGGTGCTGCCCATTAGAACAGCAATCCCTTGCAGACGGGAAAGTAGTAGTGACAGTCCTGTGACTTCCCCGCTTGGAGAGTGATTCCAGAGCCCGAGGAAGGGTGGCCCTGGGGGAAACCTACAGCCTCCATGAGCTGTGGGGAAGCTGGGACTCCCAGAGTCCAAGGGAGCTGGAGTTCACTGAGAACCAGAGAGAAAGGAGTTACATGCTGATGAAGACGGGTAGGCCAGCAGAGGGTCCTCTTAAATCTTCAGCTGAGTGCTGATCAGCATGTGAGAGTAAGTAAGTAACTTACCCAAGGCCATGAGGCAGCAGTCCAAAGGAGCAGAGGAACAGTTCCAGGAGTTCACACTGAGCTGAGACAGTGCTGTCCCCACCAGCCAGAGTGTTCTGCTGTTCAGAGTGGTCTTGCCTCGGTTCTGAGGTGAAGTCAGTGTTATGAAGGTGGCTGCTTTCGCCCTCTCTTACAAAGCTTTATAAAGAGCATCACAGGGCCAACAGGCTCCAATGAATCACAGAACAACACTCAAGAATACCATAACAGTACAAAAGGGTCCAGAGATGAACAAGATAAAGTCCACAATGTCTGGCATCCAATTTAAAATTACCAGGCATACAAAGAAGCAGGAATTGTGACATGTAATGAGGATAAAATCAATCACTATAAATAACCCCAGAAATAACCCAGGTGATTTTTCATTAAGAAAAATATTAGAATAATAATAAATGTATTTTGTACATCAATGATTGAGTGCATGTAGAAACATAGAAGATATTTTTAATAATCCAGGTTGAACATAGTAATCTACTTTCACACTGAATTTTAGTGAGCTGAGGATTTTATACACAGAAAAAATCTTTATAAATTAAAATAAAATAAAGACTTCTCGGATATAGGAAGTACTGACTAAATTGATAACCACAGGAAATGGTAAAGGGTATATTTTGGGCAAACAATGTGGATGTTAGCTGGGAAGCTACATCAACGCAAAGAAAAACATGGCCAAGAGGGATCAAATGTGGGCAAATACAAAATACCTAACATTCTAAAAATATATGTAAATTATTATTGTTTGACAATTACAACAAAGCACTGTAAAATTTAAAGTTAAAATATAACGATAGTATCACAAAGGTCTTGAAATGAAAATACACAAAGTGTTTTAAAGTCCTTCCATTTTACTTACAGTTATCAAATTGTACATGAAATCAGTGTGTGAAAAATTAAAAGCAAATGCTATAAATTCAAAAGAAATCACAAAGAAAAAGGACCTACAGCGAATAAGCCAACAGAAGAGATATACAGGAATCACAAAGGAGATACATTTGATCCACAACATGTTATGCCAAACAGAAAAGGGGTGCAGAGTACACATAGAACAAATAAGAAATAAATAGATGCTAGAAATAAACCCAGTAATCACATTAAATATAAACTGCCTAAAATCTTTAATTCTAAGGCAAGATATTATCAGACTCCATAAAAATCACCACCCAACAGTACACTGCCCACAAGAAACTTACTTTATATACAAAGACCCCAGAATTAAATGTAAATGGATGTAGATATTTGATTTTTGCCATGAGAAGAATAAAAGAAAAGATGAAAGGTACCACTAATATCAGACTAAACACAGAGATACATTGCTAAGAAAGTGACCAAGAATAGAGTGTCATTGCATAATGATTTCAGTCTATTTACTCAGTCTTAACAACAGTGCTCAAAATTCCCAAATGCATTTTATAAAAAATAACTGGTGAAAAAATACTAGAACACAAAAGTACAGAAATCCACAATTGGAATCAAAGTTCCCATCAACTCCCTTAGTATTTGATAAGCAGAAAGAGCATCAGTGATGACCCAGGTGTTAACAGCACCAGGCTGCTCCCTGTCTTCAGGCGGGCCTCCCAGAGGCAGACCCTGCGATGGACCCCTGAGCCTGTGATCATGAAGAACTATCTGTGCAGAGCTTGGAAGGGCAAGGAGTGAAAAAAGATGGGGATGCAGAGGAAGCCAGCAAGGAAGGCTGAATCTCAGGCAGAAGTTTGCCCCCAACCCGGCAGGAAGTTCCAGCTCAGTGTGGCATCATAGGAGCAAAGATTCCCAGTGTGCACCGGACTCACTGGGAAAGGTACGAGGGAGGGAGAACAAGGGGGGAAGCACAAACTCCAAGCTCTTCCTGCTCGGTGCTCCAGGTTGCTGCTGAAACCCACCGCAGGTGGTGGGGATGGAACCCTTGCGGAGTGCACAGAAGCAGTGAAGAGGAATTTAAGGCACCTGCTTCATTCCCTAATCTACCTCCCTCCCCTCTGAGTTCAGACCTCTATTTCCGTTTACCTCTCGGAACACACCTGTGCTTAAGCTCAATCTGTCCTACAGGATGTGGAACCTCACCCTGCACCCTGGTTTCCTTCTGTTCTTTGGTACCGCCATCAGTCTTTAATTTCACTCAAAGTTTCTTTTTCCTAGTATATTTCTTTTGTCCAGCCTCTAAATCTTTGCAGTCCTGCCTCTTTGACAGCTCATATGTCGGTCCCTTTCATTCATTTTCCTAGTTAGAAAAATGCCCGAGGAGTTATATTTGAGTTTCAAACATCTGCCTTTGCTATGTCTCTCCTTTCTTTTCTCTGGTAAATTTTAAGTCACTCTGTCCCACTCACTTTCTCAAAGCATAACCTTATCTGTCATTGTGTCATAATTAAATGACAAACAACAACTTGTTGTACCTCGTAACTCTGCATGTTTCAAATATTCTGCCTTTGTTCATCTTTCCATTTGTCTTAAACAATCCCTCCCTCGGGTTTTGAATATTCAAATTTGATCTCTTTTTAAGATTCTGCCTGACCAATGACCTCTGCTCTCTATGTTGACTTCTATTTTCCAGCGTTTTTCGCATTCTTGCTTTTTAATGATCATTCATTATTTCACATATATAATGTTATATTTTTTCAGAAGGAAGAGACTTTCTTAGTTTGAACAAGTCACTTAATCTCCATAAAGTGAAGTTATTTTCTTTTTTTATCCACATTTGAAATTATTCAGATGCAAAGTGAAATAAAAGATGTGATTTTAATCATAAAATGCTCCCAAAGGTGGTGTCGTTAGACCTTTTTCTGCTGAGAGTCATGTTGTGGTTTTCCTCTGTGACTGTGACTTGTGACTGTCCCTGTGCCCTCTTCCTTCCGTCCTCTCCCCCATCATGTCACAGTGCTCTGCACACTTTCACTCATTTCAGTAGGCAGACTTGTTTTTTATTATGTGACAAGCATGTCCGCAGTATAGGTGTACAACTCAACAAGCTTCTAGTGTGCTGAGGAGAGCAGTCATCGGATTTATTTAAAATTGTGCTCCACGGTATAAAGGGCAGGGAACTTTTATCAGTCAGAATTCTGAGTTTCAATGGACAGAAATTGATTCTGGCAGAAATACATTTTACCAAGAAAAAAATATAGCAGTTCACAGACTTGGTAGAAAGGTTGGAAACCAAGTTGATAAAGCCGAACAATAGCAAGTACACAGCGAAATCCATGC